TAGCTTCTCGCAAATTCCTTGCTGAAAGCATGGCAAAACACAATGTAACTTATCTCGGGAAATTCAACGGCTCGTCTTATAAATGAAGGCCCTAGATAATTGAACGGGAAGTCCATTTTTAAACGCATCTTGGGAAATTCAACGGCTCGTCCAATAAATGAACGCCATAGAAGTGCACGGGTAGTCCATTTCTAAACGCATCTCGGCAAATTCACGGCTCGTCCAATAAATGAACGCCATAGATAAGTAGTCCATTTTTAAACGCATCTCGGAGAAACTAAAGCCGTTGACATTAATCTAAACCATAGTACTAATTAAACCATTTTTATACGCCCACATTGAAATCTGGACGTATATTGCCGTCTGCCTGTCCGTCCGTCCGTCCGTCCGTCCATTGTCCACAATTTCTTGTGAAGCTCTAACGCCAAAAGTTATCATCCAATTGTTTTAAAATTGATATATGTTGTTTACATTAGTGAGACGAAGAAGCCTATTTAATTTCAATAATTTCCGTTTATTACGTCTTAGAGTTATGGCCCTTGTTTCACTTTGTTGAACCTTGTGAACGCTCTAATGCCAAAAGTTAACATACGATCTTTGTGAAATTTATATGCAATATTTAAGTTAGTGAAACGAAGAAGCCTATTGAATTTTAACAATTTCTGTTTATTACGTCTAGAGTTATGGCCCTTGTTTCACTTTATTGAACCTTGTGAACGCTCTAACGTCAAAAGTTATCATACTATCTTTCTGAAATTTACATACATTATTTAAATTGGTGATACGAAGAAGCCTTTTGAATTTCAGCAATTTCCGTTTATTACATCTAGAGTTATGGCCCTTATTTCACTTTATTGATCCTTGTGAACTCTCTAATTCAAAAAGTTATCACCCGATCTTTGTGAAATTTATATGTATGATTTAAATTAGTGAAACGAAAAAGCCTATTGGATATCAGCAATTTACAATAATTACTTCTAGAGTTATTGCTCTTGTTTCACTTTGTTAAACCTTGTTAATGCTCGATTGATGATAGTTATCATCCAATATGTATGAATTTTATATGCATCATTTAAATTATTGAACCGGTCTATTGAATTTCAGCAATTTCCGTCAATAATTTCTAGAGTTATGGTGATTGTGAATGTTTGAATGACAAAAGTCATCATGTGATCTGTATGAAATTTATATGTATTATTTAAATTAGTAAAACGAAAAAGCCTGTCAAATTTCAACAATTTCTGTAGATTACTTCCAGAGTTGAGACCCTTGTTTTAGTTTGTAGAACCTTGTGAACCCTCAAACGACAAAATTTATAATCTGATCATTGTATGGAACTGTTTTGTAAAGGCCCCCAATTACCTACAAAGGAATAAATATGCGACAACCCTTGTTGACCGCTTGGACGATTTAGCTGCTGTGGGCGTATCTTTCGTTGCCTGGCAACCTATCTTTAGCTTGTGGACCCCATAGAGGTCACAATTTTTATCCGATTTAAAAAAACGTTACAATATATCACCGTTTCACCATAAGAATGGTTTCGTAAAAATCGGACTGAAACTGACTGACAAAATGGCCGCCCCTCGTTTGCAATAGTGTCAAAATATTGTGTATCAGGGTTGGGGGCCCTCTGGAGGTCACAATTTTCATTTGATTTTGACGAAACTTGAAATGCATCTTTATAACCCACAGATCTCGATTTCTTTCGATATTCGCATAGATCAGACCATAACTTCCTGAATTATGGTCCCTGATTGTACGAAAAATTGCGTTTTAAGCTTGTGGACCCCATAGAGGTCACAATTTTTAACTAATTTAAAAAAACGTTTGAATATATCACCGTTACACCCTTAGGATGGTTCAGTTCGAATTTCGTAAAAATCGGACCGAACATGAAGGACAAAATGGCCGCCCCTTGTTCGCAAATAGTGTCACAATATTGTGTATCAGGGTTGTGGACCCTCCGGAGGTCACAATTTTCATCTGAATTTGATGAAACTTGAGATGCATTTTTATAACCAACAGATCTCACTTCCTGTCGATATTTGCGCATATAGGACCACAACTTCCTGAATTATGGCCCCTGATTGTACGGAAAATCACGTTTTTAGCTTGTGGACTCAATAGAGGTCACAATTTTTATCCAATTTAAAAAAACGTTTGAATATATCACCGTTACACGCCAAGGATGGTTGAGTTTGAATTTCATGAAAATCAGACCAAAACTGCAGGACGAAATGGCCGCCAATCGTACGTTAAAAGTGTAAACAACTGGTAAATCAAAGTTGTGGACCCTCTAGAGGCCACAATTTTGATCCAATTTTGATGAAACTTGAAACGCCGTAACTTCCTGAATTATGGCCTCTGATTTTACGCAAAATCGCATTTTTAGCTTGTGGTCCCTCTAGAGGTCACAATTATTTTTCAATTTAAAAAAACCTTCGAATATATCACTGTTACACCATAATGTTTCTTGGGTCCGAACTTCGTGAAAATCAGGCCAAAACTGCCAGACAAAATGTTCGCAAAAAGTGAAAACATCTGGTAAATCAAGGTTGTGGACCCTATAGAGGTCACAATTTTGATCCGATTTCAATTAAACTTGAAATACATGTTTATAATCCTTTCGATATTCGTGCATATCGGATCGTAACTTCCTGAATTGTGGCCCATTATTGAACAAAAAATCACGTTTTAAGCTTGTGGTCCCTGTAGAGGTCACAATTTTATCCGATTTAAAAAAAACCCTGATGAATATATCACCATTACACACTAAGATCTTGGTTCCTTAACTTAACTTCCTGGATTATGGCCTGATTGTTCGAAAAAATCGCATTTTTAGCTTGCGGATTCTCTAGAGGTCACAATTTTTTCTTGATTTTAAAAACCATTTAAATACATCACCATTCCACCATAATGAAGGTTAAATTCGTATTTCGGGAAAATCGAAATGAAACTGCCCGACAAAATGGCCGCTCTTTGTACGCAAATTGTGTAGAAGTGTGTAATACGAAGGTTGTGGACCCTCTAGAGGTCACAATTTTTATCCGATTTAAAACATATCTTTATATCACAAATACCTCTGTCCCTTTTGATATTTTCACTTATAGGCCATGACTTTCTGGATTATTGCCCCTGATTGTATAAAAAATTATGTTTGTTTTTAGCTTGTTCTCGATGTGGGCGTATCCTGCCTGGCATCCGCTGGGTCTTTTATCAAATAGTAAACGAGCTTGATTGACCGATGACTGCTAATGTTATTTCAATTGCAATCAACACACGGCCATCTACGAGAAGCTTGTCGAGGTATGCTTTAACGTGCAGCTTACAGGTTATCGTTAACAATTTCTAGTGTCTTTTAAAAAGAGTGCATGTCGTGTAAATATTTACATTTGTTTTTGTGTAGGTCATTTTCAAATAAATTTGTAGGCATGTTATTCATTTTTAACAAATATATTACTATACGAGAAACGATGATTATCAAAGAACCATAAGTGCAACTAATGGTTTATCGTTTGGTGGAGCCTTTTAATAACCACGTGTTTCAAGTTAATAAATATTTTCCTTTGTCTCACGAGATTATCGCTGTGCATTTGTACATCGCAAGGTTGACTTCAGTAAACGTGTACAGGTGGAAAACTTAATTAATTCATTTGTGATTTAAAGAAGATACATTACCTGGGATGAGATTTACTGATTTCCAAATGTATAATTACCTTGGATGTTATTTACCGATTTTTTGATATATTTTGTCAATGGCGGAATTACTATTTTGAATGGATAATGATAATGGATAATAATACTAGTACCACGTAAGGTGCTTTTTTTTAACATTCACCATTTTTATTCGCACTTCATATGCAAATAATCGTAAAAGAACCAGCGGCTGCCAGGCAGGATATACGCCCACATCGGGAAAATAAACGATTCATCTAATAATTCAACATCGTAGATTAATTAAGCAGGTCTTATTTCTATACGCATTTCGGGAAATTGAACTACTTGTCTAATAAATAAACGCACTAGATAAGTGAACGGTCGGCCATTTTTAAACCCCTCTCGAGAAATTAAACGCTGTACCATTAGATTAAGCCATAGTACTAATTAAACTATTTTTGTAATTTTCCAACGATTATTATCAATTATCAAACGATGTTTTGAAATTAAACTATATACCTAGTTTTTAGCGCTATAACCCCATTAGAAACGATACCAGTTTCACAGTGATAACACTCCAAATCAATATATATTAATGTCCAAAAGAAAGTATACACACTAAAAATATGACTAAGTTTTGTTTAAATCAAAAAAATTATAAATGTTTCATTACCGAAAAAAGTAAAAATATGCGACAACACTTGTTGACTGCCCGGACGATTTAGCTGCTGTGGGTGTATGTATTGTTGCCTGGCAACCTATCTTTACGGTAAGTACGAGCTTATGTCTGACTTGAAAGCGCTTTTTGAATCCTGTTGCAAGTTCTATTTATGTCTTAACTACATGTATACACTCTTAATACAGTAAATATGCAAAACAATTTGAACACAGCATAAATATCTAAACTGTGTAATACATGTATAGTCGTATGCATATGTGTCCTTCAAAATGTACTAGACATGCAGCTTTACATACATAACCGCATATATATCATGCAGAATATGTGAACACTGTATGTTCTCTCTATACAGCGTGACGTAACGCGTCCGTATTATTAACGAAAATATCTAACATCCATAACATCGTGGCAGTATATCGTTTTGACATCGATTGTTTATGACAAATAAATACCATTAATTTTGCATGTAAAATTACACTGAGGCCTATCGTGTCACACGACTATTGTGACACGCGATAGCGATTGCTACACCAAGTTATTTATTGTGGCGTTATCGTGGCAATATTCAACAGAAAACCCCTTTACCTACAAAATTGTTTTAAATTTGGTTTGAGAAAAGAAAAATTTTCTTTAGTGAAATATCTTAAACATTTTTTATTTGTAGGAACATGCATCGTTGATTAAACAAATTGATTATGAAACTGTGACCACTTTTGAACGTCAGTTTGTTGATGCCATCAAGACATTATGGGAGGATGATGGAATTCAAGAATGTTATGACAGACGGAGAGAGTACCAACTTACTGATTCTGCCAAATAGTAATAACCCTGTGTTTTTATATGTTTTTTATACGCCCACATTTTCATGTGGACATATTATGCCGACGCCCCTGTCCGTCTGTCCACCCACAATTTGTTTATGGACACTCGACAGGTTAAAATTTACACCCAATTTTGATGAAACTTTAAATGCATCTTTATAACCCAAAGATCTTGGTTCCTTTCGCGCATATCAGATCGTTACTTCCTGAATTATGGACCCTGATTGTGCGAAAAATCGTATTTTTAGGTCCTGGTTCCTCTAGAGGTCACAGTTATTATCCGATTTAAAAAAACATTTGAATACATCACCGTTACACCTTACTGTTGGTTGAGAGAAAGATAAATGGGGTTTAACGTCCACTCGACACAAACTAGGTCATTTCGGGACTAACACATGGTTCAATTTTTTATTTCAATATTTCGCTTGCGCGTTGGGGTCTTTAGCAGTGGGAGGAAACCAGAGGACCCGGAGAAAACCCACGAGGTTGTCACGTACAACCGGGGAATCGAAACCCCGCCAGTTGACTCAATGACAGACCGCGTGATACATTCGGCCATCCAACCCTCTGTTGGTTGAGAATTCGAATTTTGTGAAAATCGGACCAGATAATATGGCCGACCCTCGTACGCAAATAGTGTAAACATCTGGTATATCAAGGTTGTGGACCCTCTAGAGGTCAGAATTTTTATCTGATTTTGATGAAACTTGAAATGAATGTTTATATCCCAAAGATCTTGGTTCCTTTCGATATTCACGCATATCGGATCGTGACTTTCTTTATTTATGGCCCCTCATTGTACGCAAAAATACGCTGTGAGTTATGGCCCTTGTTTCACTTTGTTGTACAAAAGTTATTATCCGATCTGTATGACATTTATATGTATTGTTGTCCCCCTCCTTTCGAAGAAAGCAGGGGACTATTAAAATGGGTTCGTCCGTCTGTCTGTCTGTCTGTCCGTCTGTCTGTCCGTCACACTTTTTGGGACACAATAACTCTCTTCCTAATTGAGCTAGAATGTTCAAACTTGGTGTATGTGTTTATTAGGTCAATGCCTTGATGGAGTTCGAAGATGAGCATTTTCCGCTTAGGGTAAGCAGAGATAAGCAATTTGATTGGTTGATGCTTTGGGACACGATAACTCTCTTCCTAATTGGGCTAGAATGTTCAAACTTGGTGTATGTGTTGATTAGGTCAATGCCTTGATGGAGTTCGAAGATGAGCATTTTCCGCTTAGGGTAAGCAGAGATAAGCAATTTGATTGGTTGATGCTTTGGGACACGATAACTTTTAATTGAGCTAGAATGTTCAAACTTGGTGTATGTGTTTATTAGGTCAATGCCTTGATGGAGTTCGAAGATGAGCATTTTCCGCTTAGGGTAAGCAGAGGTAAGCAATTTGATTGGTTGATTCTTTGGGGCACGATAACTCTCTTCCTAATTGAGCTAGAATGTTCAAACTTGGTGTATGTGTTGATTAGGTCAATGCCTTGATGGAGTTCGAAGATGAGCATTTTCCGCTTAGGGTAAGCAGAGATAAGCAATTTGATTGGTTGATGCTTTGGGACACGATAATTAGTTCTAATTAAGTGAGATTGATGAAACTTGGTGTATAGTTTCATTACAGTAATACCTTGACTAAGTTTGATAATGAGCATTTTCTGCTCAGGGTAAGCAGAGCGATACGCAATTTGATTGGTCGAGACTTTGGAAAACAATAACTCTCCTACTTTGATTGTTAGACTATAAGTAAAGATATACTGTTTGATTGTTCAATACTTTGTAAAAGATAATTTGTGATAAATTTATATGTGTCCTCTAATTATTTTCCTATTTCGGCGGGGGACATCAGCCTCACTGTTGGCTTGTTTAAATTAGTAAAACGAACAAGCCTATTGAGTTTCAGCAAATTTCTGTTAATTACAGCTAGAGTTATGGCCCTTGTTTCACTTTGTTGAACCTTGTGAACGCCAAAAGTTATCATAAGACCTTTGTGAAATTTCTATGCATCATTTAAATTAGTGAAATAAAGAAGCCTATTAAAAGTCAGCAATTTCCGTCAATTACTTCTAGAGTTATGGCCCTTGTTTTACTTTATTCAACCTTGTGAACATTCGAGCGACAATAGTTATCATCCGTTCTGTATGAAATTTATATGCCTTATTTTAGTAAAACGAAAAAGCCTGTCGATTATTTCCAGAGTTACGAACCTTGAAATGTGGACCGGGGGGGGGGGGTGGGTGTTGGATGGCTGAATGGTTATTGTGCGCGCGCTGTATCATAAAGTCTGTCATTGAGTCAACTGGCGTGGTTTCGAATCCCCGGTGGTACGTGACAAGGAGTAGGGTCGCCTGTCCAACCTTGTGGGTTTTCTCCAGGTCATTGAGTCAACTGGTGTGGTTTCGAATCCCCGGTTGTACGTGACAAGGAGTAGGGTCGCCTGTCCAACCTTGTGGGTTTTCTCCAGGTCCTCCAGTTTCCTCTAGTTTCCTCCCACTGCTAAAGACCCCTATGCGCAAGCAAATTATTGAAATAAAATTAAAACATGTATGTCCCGAAATGACCTAGTTTGTGTCGAGTGAACGTTAAACCCCATCCCTCTCTCTGAAATGTAGACGTAAATTGCCGTCACCCCCGTCCGTCTGTCGATCCATCCGTCCGTCCATCGTCCACATTTACTTGTGAACGCTCTAACGCCAAAAGTTATCATCCAATTGTTTTTAAAAATTTTATCCGATTTGGTTTAAACTTGGAATGTATGTTTCTAACCCACAGATCTTGGTTCCTTTCGATATTCGCGCATATTGGGCCATAACTTCCTGAATTATGACCCCTGATTGTACGAAAAATTGCGTTTTTATACTCCCACATTGAAATGTGGACATATATTGCCGTCGCCCCCTTCGGTCCGTCAGTCCATCGTCCACAATTTCTTGTGAACACTCTTACGTCAAAAGTTATCATCCAATTTTTTAAAAATTTATATATGTTTACATTAGTGAGATGAAGAAGCCTATTTAATTTCAATAATTTCCGTTTATTACGTCTAAGAGTTATGGCCCTTGTTTCACTTTGTTGAACCTTGTGAATGCTCTAATGCCAAAAGTTATTATACGATCTTTGTGAAATTTATATGCAATATTTAAGTTAGTGAAACTAAGAAGCCTATATAATTTCAACCATTTCTGTTTATTACATCTAGAGTTATGGCCCTTGTTTCACTTTATTGAACCTTGTGACACACTCTAACACCAAAAGTTATCATCTGATTTTTCTGAAATTTATATGTATTATTTAGATTACTGAAACGAAGAAGCCTATTGAATTTCGGCAATTTCCGTTTATTACGTCTAGAGTTATGGCCCTTGTTTCACTTGAATGATCCTTGTGAACGCTCTAACGTCAACAGTTATCATCCGATCTTTCTGAAATTTATATGCATTATTTAGATTACTGAAACGAAGAAGCCTATTGAATTTCAGCAATTTACAATAATTACTGAGTTATTGTCCTTGTTTCACTTTGTTAAACTTTGTTAATGCTCGATTGATGAAAGTTATTATCCGATATGTATGAAATTTATATGCATCATTTAAATTTGTGAAACCGGTCTATTGAATTTCAGCAATTTCAGTCAATAATTTCTAGAGTTGTGGCTATTGTGAACATTTGAATGACAAAAGTGATCATGTGATCTGTATGAAATTTATATGCATTATTTAAATTAGTAAAACGAAAAAGCCGGTCAAATTTCAACAATTTCTGTAGATTGCTTCCAGAGTTGAGACCCTTGTTTCAGTTTGTAGAACCTTGTAAACCCACAAACGACAACATTTATAATCTGATCTGTATGGAACTGTCTTGTAAAGGCCCCCAATTACAGTACTGGTGCCGCGACGCTTTGATGAAACACGTTTATCGTTTTTTTTTTTTTGGTTTTTTTTTTAAATTGCCACGATAACGGCACGATAAATTACTCGGTGTAGCAGTCGCTGGCACACGATAGTTGTATGACACGATAGGCTTCGGCTTAATTTTACATGCAAAATTAACGGCATTTATTTGTCAGAAACAATCGATGTCGAAACGATATACTGCCACGATGTTATGAATGTTGAATATTTTCGTTAATAAATGGACGCATTAAGTCACGTTGTATATTGAGAACACTGTGTTCACATATTCTGCATGATATGTGCGGTTACATTTCCAACCAGTCACGTAAAGCTGCATGTCTAGTACATGTACATTTTGAAGGACACGTATGCATAAGACTATACATGTATTACACAGTTTAGATATTTATGCTGTGTTCAAATTGTTTTGCATATTGTATAGGGTGTATAGTTATGAATTACTCTCGAATCACGGCAAAGATAGACTTTTAAATTGCAAACTATAAAGGTATTTTGATTATTGGTCTTACAAATAGAAATAAGACAAATAGAACTTGCAACGGGATTCGAAAGCGCTTTCCAATCAGACATAAGCTCGTACTTTCCGTAAAAATGAAATGAACGCGACACAAGTCTCCAATGTAAGAGAATGTTAGTTAATTATAACCACTATCAAATCCACAAAAAAATCCAAGGCACTTGTTTTATTTTAGAAAAGAATAACTGTATTTCGACGGAGGTTCTATTCCACATGAACCCAAATCAATGATAAATGTCAACTTGTATGTTGTCATTCTCGTGTAGACTGGTTTGAATAACAGAAATGTCCCGTGTATCAAAGATCAAAGAATAAAATCACACGTAGCCACTTTGTTGTTGCTAGAAACCATGCAGTGTTCACCTTACAACAGGTCAATTGATTTATGGTTTATTTTATAATTAATAATACCGTTCAGACCGCAATGCGTTACGATTTGCATTTTGGTATTCCAGTTAATATCCGATTTATACACAGTGTTTAAGGTCATGAGACGAAGAAGCCTGTTCAGCGATTTCCGATAATTACTGCCAGAGTAATGGCCCTTGATCGCTTCGAAAAATCT